AGAGGGAGTGTTCTTAAGTTCCAAAAGTGTATATAGGTTTGAATGTGGTGTAATTTGTACAATTTTCTCATTTTTCATAATAGATTTCTTAGTTTGGTACAATGTTGTGATTTTTTTCTGTTCTTGAATTTTTTCAAAATTAAATTTTTGTGTTATTTGTATTTTACGTGATTTTCTGTTTTGTGTGCTTCTGTTCTACGTTTTGCTTTTGATCTCTCGAATCAATTTTCGCATCTCTACCAATAGGTGGTCTTAAGCTTTGTTAATGACTGATGCAGGATACCTTAAAGATGTATAGGTATTAATGCACAATTGCACATATATAATAAGTTCATTCAAAAAATGCATGAAGCCTAAAAGGTCATGACTACAAGCTTTTAACAACAACAATAAAACCTTAATCCCACTATGTGAGGTCAATTACATGAATCTTTTTTCTCCATTGCATCCTATTTAGTGTCATATTTTCATTTAATTCTAATAAATTAAGATCATTTCTTATACAATAATACAATAAGCCCAAGTTTACAATAAGCCCAAGTTTTCCTAGGTCTACATCTGTCTTTCTTAACATAAGTCGAATCTAAACATCAACTCTCCTAAGCGGATTATCAGATATTCGACGCTTCATGTGACCAAACCACCTAAGACGACTTTCTCTAATTTTGTCCGTCACAGGAGCTACACCAACCCTATCACGGATATAATCATTTCGCATTTTGTCTTTAAGTGTAAAGACATTCTTCCACCTAATCATTCTCATCTCGGTGTTATGCTTGTCTTTTAAAGGCCAACATTCAACGCCATAGAGCATTGCGGGTCTCACCAACCTCTTATAAAATTTTCCTTTCATTCTAAGCGGTACTTTTCTATCATACAAAAGACTCAACATGAATCCTTTTGATCATTATACCATTTTACGAGTGAAAGAATAAAATGTTTTAGCTGAATGCGCTTCGTCTTGACATAAATTTTGACATTCTTTGCTAGAAGAATGACACTCATACTGTCACTATGAAATTTTTCATTCTCTTGCTCATTGTCCATTTCTCTTATAAAGCTCTAAAGCTAAATTATTTCCTTGCTAGCCTCTGTGATAGCAATAGACTTAGTTTTTGTAGTCGATAATGTAACAATCTTCCGCAATCTTGAAACTCAACTCATTGTTGTGTTCCCCAAAGTGAAAATAAATTTATTATACTTTATCTATCATCAATATCTTCTACCAGATCTGACTCAGCATATCCTTGTAGATTGATTCTTGCACTTCTAAAGCAAAGTGATTCTTTGACAGTTCCTCTCAAGTATCTGAGAATGCATTTCATCGCCTCCCAATGATGTTTTCCTGAATTACTCATTTATCTACCGACTACTTCCGCTTTATATGCAATATGTGATCTTGTACATATCATCACATACATTAGACTTCCAATTTCTGAAGCACATGGAGTTTTTCTCATATGTGTTTGCTTAGCTTCAAACTTATGCGATTGTTCCTTGGATAGTTTATAGTGACTACCTAAGAGGTTGCTAACAGATTTTGTCTCATGTTGAATCTATTTAGGACCTTCTCAATATATTCTTCCTGAGACAACCTTAATTTACCCGCACTTTTGTCCCTGCTAATTTTTATACAGAGGATTTTCTTGATTAGATCTAAATCTTTCATTTCAAACTTCCTTGATAATTACTCCTTTAAAACCCTAATCTACTCTATATCTACTCCTACAATTAGTAAGTCATCAACATACAAAAAAGCACAATGTAAAAATATCTCAGGCATCTTTTTAGTTTTTAAAATAATATTAAAGAGTTTAGTAAGCTAAGAAACTCCCAAATCTCCCAACCATTTCCATACTTCAATTGGGATATCATCAGGTCCTACAGACTTTCCACCCTTGGTTTTCTTTAAAATCTCTTTAACTTCTTTTCTACTAATGCGACGGTAAAAATGAAACATTTTATTATTATTAACAATATTAAGATCACTATGGTCGCTCGTATTTTCACTTCTTCATTAAAAAGTTTATCAAAATAATTCACCCACCTATGTTGAATATCTTTTTTTAAGAAAAACACTTTTTGATTTTCAACTTTAATACACTTTACTTGAGGCAAATCTTTACTTTTTTTTTCTCTTTGTTTGGCTAGTTTATACATATATTTTTCAGCCTCTTTAGTATCTAATCTATTATAGAGATCAATAAAAATAGAATTTTTAGCGTCACATGGAAAAATATTTAGTCAATCCTCCTTCAGTTCGAACATAAGTAATTGTTCTAGTATACATATCTTTAAAGACTTGAATATAAGTCTTATCAACACCTTTCTTATCAAGAACTCTCCAAAGGATATCTTTTGGAACCTTATCGTAAGTTTTTTCTAAATCAATAAAAATCAAATGTAGATTCTCCTTATTATCTCTAAACTTCTCCATCAAACCTCTCAATAAATGATAGTAGACCTGCCTGGCATAAATCCAAATTGATTATGAGAAATCTTTGTAATACATCTTAACCTATGATTAATTACCCTCTCCCATAATTTTAAAGAATGACACATCAACTTAATTCCTCTATAATTTGCACAATCTTGTGCATCCCCTTTATTCTTAAAAATGGGGACCAAAATACTTTTTCTCCACATCTCAGGCATCTTTTTAGTTTTTAAAATAATATTAAAGAGTTTAGTAAGCTAAGAAACTCCCAAATCTCCCAACCATTTCCATACTTCAATTGGGATATCATCAGGTCCTACAGACTTTCCACCCTTGGTTTTCTTTAAAATCTCTTTAACTTCTTTTCTACTAATGCGACGGTAAAAATGAAACATTTTATTATTATTAACAATATTAAGATCACTATGGTCGCTCGTATTTTCACTTCTTCATTAAAAAGTTTATTAAAATAATTCACCCACCTATGCTGAATATCCTTTTTTAAGAAAAACACTTTTTGATTTTCAACTTTAATACACTTTACTTGAGGCAAATCTTTACTTTTTTTTTCTCTTTGTTTGGCTAGTTTATACATATATTTTTCAGCCTCTTTAGTATCTAATCTATTATAGAGATCAATAAAAATAGAATTTTTAGCGTCACATGTTATTCTTTTAGACTCCCTGCAGGTCGTTTGATATTTTTTTCAGTTCTCTAAGCTTATACATTTAAACCAATTTTTATAACATAACCTTTTATATTTGATTTTTTCTTGCACATTATTAATTCCACTACAAGCTATTTTTATTTAAAGAAACTTTTTCTTTTAATTCTCCAAGTACATATGTTGTTACTTGTTTAATAGTATTTGTTATTTTATCCCACAAAGCATTTGTTTCATCATGAACATCCCAAAATTTGAAATCTTGAATTTTACTCATAAAAATAATTTTATTTGTGTATTTTAGGTTCCCCCATCTAATTCTACACCGATGAGCCCTAGTATTCTTTATTTTACAACTATTCATCTTAAAATCTAGAATTAATAAATGATGTTGGGTACATAAATCCTCACTTGGAATGACTTTACAATCTTTACAATCTGGACGATTTCTTCTTCTCATAAGGAAATAATCAATTTGTGTTTTATTAGATCCATTCTTATAAGTAATAAGATACTCATTTCTTTAGTTAGTGTTAGTAATAACAAAATCTTATGCCAAAGCAAAATATGCAAAATAATAAAATAGCTCTACCTTCTTCATTAGTCACTCCAAAACCGTAGCAACTATGAATATTTCTAAAATCTTCTACCACTCTACCGACATATCCATTTAAATTTCCTTCAATAAAAATTCTTTCTTCATGAGGTATCATTTGTATTAAGTCTTCTAAATCATTTCAAAATTTATCTCTAGACTCCAAGCTTTTAGCAAATATTCATTAATTGTGATTAAAACAGAAAGACTAAGAAATTCAAAGCATGTGCTGGTTCATTAGTTTTCTACTAGAAACAATGTGAAGAAATTCAAAATCAAGAGAAACATTTATTTAGTGAAAATCATGATTGTAAAAATCCAAATTATATCCAATTTAACTAATATTGATTATACATTCAAATTAATAATAAGAACTAAAGAATTGAAATAAAACAAAAGAAAATCACCAAATCAAAGTGAATGCTCATAAGGAAATAAACTCATACAAAAATCTTCAAATAATCTACTTAATGACAAGGATAATTTCCAAAAGTTAAAAGAATAACATATTCAGGCAGAGGTTTATTCCATACTAAAGTGTATTACTTTTTCTTCGTACATGCCTCAACCTTTTATTAATAACCACAAAATCCACTTAGATTTTATATAAAATAGAAAAAGAGAAAAAATTCTAAAACCAAGTAAATCATGCACAAAGTTGATGATAATCCCACAAAATAGTCACAAGAAACCCAGTGCAATAGAATTTCAGTTCAGCACTATTAAAAGCATGTTCAATAGGACCTTCGCTTCACATCCTCCTCACGCCTCTGAGTTGATGAATCGCCTGCTCCACTCCATCAACAAATTCAAATATTCATCCTCAAAAGGATTTGACAGTGATAGAACTTCTTTGACTTGACCTCCATACCACTAAGTTTGGCTTCGATGATCTTGACCTTTCCCAGCATTCGCTGGATCTAGTGACTGATGACCTACAGCATTTGTGAACTTCGAGGGCAATCGTGTGGGCATGTGTGACCTACAAAAGTCAGTTTGTGTGACTTGTACTTGCTAGTGCAGGTCTTATTAAAGTGGCATAAATGTCAAATATATATATATATATATATATATTTTTTTTTTCCATTTCTTCTCTTGTAACTCCAATTGAGGATGGGACACAGAATTACAGCTTCCTTCCATTACCCAACTTCAGCTAAGAACTGGAATCATTTCAAGTACAATGCTGATGGATTAACGTTTAAGCCTAGGTTTAAATTAAAAAAAATATGTAGTTGGCTCTGCTTCACCGAATCAAATATCACGGAATTCAGTAATAACTAAAGATGAGAGCAATACAAAACCTGAGAAGCGTGGTCGCTAGGTCCACAGCCCCAGATCAGATCACCCTCCTCCACAACCCGATGATTTTCCTTTAGATCCGCACAGTCTGACGGTGCCATCATTAGCAAAGACGCGAATGGCAGCTGCTGCACGCTATGGCAATCCTCATCACCGCCACCACAACCAGTTGCGCTCCGGCACGGCGTCCTCGGACTCAGCTTGCTAGCTGCCTCTGAAGAAGAATCCCGCCTCGCCATCTCTTCTAGCTGCTGCACCACAGCCGGCTTTCTCTTCCCACCTCTACTGCCGTTGGAGAAGCAAGGCACATATAGGTCGGCAAAAACCGAATCGATTGTACCCAAACCAGCAAACATAAGCTGTTCCCCGCACTCCACAGAGTCTTTCAAGTCGAGTTCGATACCCCACGAAGCGGCAAGCTCCACGACAGAGGGGAAGCCGGAGAATCCCTCAATAGGAACGCGCCTGTGCCCGTCGCCCGTGTCAGCGACAGCTGAGTGGACATCTAAATCGCACTCCTGGCAAAGAGCGAGCTTCTCCGCCGAACACCTCACTATTGCTGCAGCATCACCGCATTTGTCGCAGATCTGGGACCGTACGTGCTTCCAGGAGAGCGCGTTAGCTCCATGGACTTGCCGGTCACAGGCGACGCAGAGACGAGCAGTGTCCGCCCTGCAATAGATCACAGCCGTCGCCTCTGAGCAGTAATCGCAGACCAGCGGACGCTCGTCTGTGATCCCCTCACCCATCGCAAACCCTAGCTCCGGCGCCGAAATCCCACTCCTGGTAGAGTTCTACGGAGAGAGAAGGAGAAGCAGCTGAGATTGAAATGAGTGCCGCTATAGAACGACGGAAGCAAAGAGCAGTGGAGCACCGACCGCATAGATATTAATGTCAAAGGCACCTCGCAAGTTATTTTTGGTGCGGTCATGCTTAATCGCCCGTTGATTATGATCGTGGCCAAACGCTGAGACGGAGGCGACTTCGGGCGCGGGCGCAGGGAAATTCGGTGCGGGAATGTACGTGACAATGACGGCTGTGGGACCAGTGAGGATGGGAAAATATCAGCGCTTTTTGCTGAGCTGGAACCTCAACGTGTGGGGGCCACAGCTATCCCGGGTCAGAGCGAATCACGTAGCGCGGAATGGTGACGATACAATCATTAATTTATGTAGTATTAGTACTGATTAGTATTCATTAGAAATTGATTATTGTTGATATTATAAATTTTAAATTAAATATTAAGCATAAGGCATAATGTCAAAATATGCTTTAGCGCTCGCAGTGTTTAGCTCGAGAATATCTTCAGTCATGTTCATTAAAAGTTCTTTAGGTTGCTTTTACTAAGATTTTGTTTGTTGCAGCTTATAAATGAAGACGATGTTTTTAAAATGCCGTCGTACTGTTTGGTTCGTGTGTTTCACTTGCTTATCCGAAACCGCACTTGAGTTTTTACACTAAACGCAGGTCGAGGGTCGCGTTTCAGGATAAGCAGCTTATCTTGAAAGACACAAGCTGCCTCAAATGGACCTTAAATTTGAGGAATAAATATTGCATTAAAATTTAAAAAAAAAACACTAGAGATTAATTTGATATAATACAATTTGAAAGTACAAATTAAATATTTTATACTTGAGAAAACAATTTGAAATGTTTTTAAATTGAATAAAGACCAAAAATCATTATGATAGATAATTCAAGTCTTTTATTAATGGAGAGAAACATAGAATTGACTATGAAATACAAAAGGGGTTGAATTAGACTATTAAATTTTGTTTATTAATTAGAATATTAATATTATGTTATTTAATAAGAATATTAACGAATAAAAAATTTTGAACTTTGCAAATAATGTAAATACCAAGCTATCATAAGTGTAAGTAAAAGAAGTAGCTGGTAAATATTTTTATATTGTTCGACCAATAAAACTTACATCTACGATAGCCAACTTTTAAGCTAAAAAACCACTAAATCTAAGATCAAACATCACTTTTCAAATCGAAGAAGCCGCTTACAACCAAAGTATTATCTTATGTGAGCCAATACAACTCAATCTAAATATTGTATGATTAAGTGTGTTTAATTATTGCTAGTAGATTTGGAACACATAGGGTTTGTTGGCAAATTACTCCCGATTTATAAAGTTAACTTGTTTCTTGTGGTATTGATACACAACTTAAGATCCACACATGACTTGATCGACATGTATATTTGTGTGGATTGTCAGTGCTTCATAGTATTTTGTTCGTATTAAATATAATATTCTATTTACAAGTTGTGATGTGATTAACAACACTTTTTATTTTTTAATTTAAGATATTGTTATATCATTATGTTGTAAAATTATTTGAGCATGTATAATATATAAAAGTTAGAATATTTAAAGAAGTGAGGTTTGTTGGCAAATCACCCTCTTATGCTGGTGAGTACAACCAAGGTACGACCAAGGTTAACACATCACAACTACAAAACTCCAGTTAAATTACTACATAATATTTAAAAACATAATACCTAAATTACCAATCCAAAGGAGACAAGAATATACTAGCTACATATGCTTTAAAACAACAAAATAAGTAATTTATTTATCAAAGCAAATCAAAATACAAAGAGTTCGAATAAAGAACCTGATGGAAAACACCAAGGAATTGTTACTGGACTTCTTTCCTTCTGCACATGTTTCACTAAATTACATGACCAATTTGCACTAAAATTTCTCAAGCACTCCCCTCAAAACAATCTATGCACACTTAGACATGTATTTGATACTCTTTCCATTGATAGGATATCTCCCTCAATGATTCGACAAAGTAAATATATTTTCTCATTGTGAAATAGTGCAATTGAAACATCAAACCCATTAAAATGCATGTTCGAATGCCAAGGAGCTAGAATATGACACTTGGTGCTGGGTTATAATGTTAGGTGTTGCAGAGTCAATGCCCCTTTTCCCAGCTCTGCGTATGCTCAATACATTCAATTTAGGGCTTTAGGTGTTTGGGCACTGATCAGTGGCACCCAAGCACTGAACTATTGTCTTTGGGCACCACCAGATTGGCAACCCTCTTTCCACCTCTCTATCTTGGGATGGTTTTAAGGATGTCATTGAGCGCTTAAGAATTGCTTGGTTGGCATCTGGGCGTTACTGTTATGCTTAGCCCCAAATCCATCATTTGATATCCCATCATTATTCTTACTTATATCTTATGAAATACCATACAAACACCTTACAAAAACATAAAATTAATATAAATTAGACTAAAATGCAACACAGACGATCACAATTCAACTAAACATCAAATCTTCCCAAACTTATAAATTAATTGCTCTCAAGTAATCTCATATCTAAAATTAGATTCAATTAAATATCATATAATTTCTTATAAACATGTGAAAATACTATTAAAGAATTAAATTTTCATTTATTTATAATAGTTGAAGTATTCTTTAATTTTCTCTTTCCATAGGATAGTGAGTCTTGAGGCTCTTAGTGCAGTTTAACTTAAATAAATTCATTAATCAAAGATAAATTTAAGTCAATTAATTCGTCAATTAAATTACCTCAAAATTTATTAATCTTCTTTTGAATATAATATTTGAGAATTTCATTTAGAAAGCCCTTAAGTTTTATAAATTCAAAAAATAATTGAAAATCAACATTTGATTTTCTTTTTTTATGCTTAACATCAAGCATCTTCTCCATGGCTCTATGATTTTTCTTTCTTTTAATGCATGAGTCTTTTAAATATTCTCTTTTTATTATTTTTTTCTCTTCACTGAAATTGCCATATTTTATTAAGCATGTATTTTATTCATGTGAATGTCTAATCTCCATTAAATTTGTAATTCTTAATTACTTGTTAATGAGTATTCAAAAATTATAATTAATTTGAAAATTATGTTTCACTTAGAGTATTAGAGTTGAAAATTATGGAATTAAATATCGTTGATTAATTAATTATATTCTCTTTCATAGGTTATAAAGAATACTTATGTTGAGTACAAGTATAATTGAAAAAAAAAAACAAAATGTTAAATTTCTATTAAATTAATTTTAAATACAATTTTAAATGAATATTTGTATTACTTTTCAATATTTTATATAAATATTATTAAATTTCAATGTATATTATTATGATTTACTATTATAAAAAAATGTCTAAAGTTAAGGTATATAAATTACTTTTACAATGTGGATTTTTTCCCCCCTAACTCATCTTTTATCCTATGCATGCCCTATGAGAAATTTCAACAAATGGAAAAAGGAATAACATATGTGAATTGGGAATTCACACCACTAAAATCGCATATACAAAGAATTTTTTTCATATCACTTCACATTATCATAGAGAACAATTCTAGTGATTAATCATAGCAGGTTAATACTAAAGTAAACAAAAAATAAAATAAAGTTTAACAAAACACAAAACAATCACAACACTACTAATCACATTAAGTCTCCACAAAGTGAGTGCTATAACATTAGGTACATCACAGAATACCATCATATTCAAATTCTTAACTCGAAACAAATAGAATCACAATCCAGAAAAGCTACAATAAAAAAATTAATACAACCACATCATAAAAATAAAATACAACAATCAACAAAATTAAGCTATCTACAAAAAATCTATAAATCAAATCTAATCCTCATTATCATCGTCGTCATCCTCCTCCATCAACTAGGTGGTATCGTTCAAAATGTTGAGATGATCTAGCTCCATGCTCCATTGGTTTTTTTGATAAATCTCTTGTTGAGCAACATGATATTGAGTCGAGACTTGCTCATATGCTACTCTACATAGTGGAGCCAGCAGTCAGGGAGATTATGTATCTCCAATTGCATAATTGTTGACTCTTCTGAAAGATTTTTAAAAGGCTTCATGATAGTAGTATTTGATGCAAAATGTTGGGGATGAGAAGAAGTGGGACTAGAAGAGCTCACCCACTCATAGGTCTATACTTCCCATAAGAAAAGATGACTGATTTGGTCATAGGCTTAATGGAAGGAATATATTCTTCCCAAATCTCTCCCTTTGCTCCAGTTTTGACACATAGGGCATAGATAATATTTGGATTTCCTAATCCTATCGTAGTTTGTGCTCTCATGATGTTCTGGATATAATCATATATAATGGATTGCTGCCACTTTATAGCATTAAGAATGGCATGATCCTTAGTGACTTTGCTAGTGTTTTTTGAGAAAATAAGTCAACCAAAAATAAATTAATTTCAAGCCTTAAACTTCTAATTTTCATGGCCGAGCAATATAAATTAAATATCTTCTCACCTCTAATTTTCTATTGAGCACACGAATAAGTAAGAAAGTTGATTATCTCTTGAAATTGAGATTTAGAGGCTATAAAGTTAGAAAATTCCAATTTGAAGAGATCATGAAGGCCGAAAGAGCATTGATAAAACTAGAATCAACTACTTTCTTTTCCCTTAACAAATACCATATCATTCATTTGTTCTTTTGTGTTAGCAAAGAACTCTCGGACGACAGGTACACTAACAGGTGGGGCTATGTAACAAAACTTTTTCTAACCTCCACTAATGATTAAACATTCTACCCTGCCCCCAGGTTCCAAAAAAACTCTATGATAAGCTTCTTTAATAGCAATAAGTGGTATTGATTAGCAGCTTTGACACTAATAAATATCTTGCTATCATACGTGGTTTCTTTCCAAAGCCATTGGTTTTAAATGTCATTGTTGGCATCAATTTTTGATGCTGAGAGTGTAGGATGCCCGCTCGAATGCTATTAAACATTGCTTGTTGCATGTGTTAATTCTCATAGTACAAGATATCTCTTTAAGACCCACCAGGGTGTATTGAAGGGTATGCGGTCAGGATCTTTCTTCTAGA